GTGACACTAATCTATCGATGTGGGGGACAAGGAGAAGCAGGAATAGGGCTCTGGTTCAGTTGAGAGTACAGGATTCTTTGACATCTTGAACTCAGTTGATCCTTTAAGACAGATGATGCTATGAAATAACTTTAACCAGATCCCCCAAAAAACCCTAGGCTCTGGTCAAGTAACTTACCCCACATTAACAAGGAAGCCAGGAATCAAACCCAGAGTCCAACTAGGGTCTGCTACACTCTGAGATCCTTATCCATCTGACCTTGCCACGGGGCTGTGGTAATGGCCTTGTTTTTACCCCCAAGTGTCCTACAGCCCAGCTGGAATCCAAAACCAACCCTCAGAAGGACAACGTGACACAAAGCAGAATGGGGGAAAACTGGGCAGATCAGGAGGGAGATCCGCTGATGGGTTCAGAAGGGCAGTGAAATTCAGCTGTACCTTCAAGGGTGGGCATTTAGAACAGGTGAAACAGGATGAAAGGGAATTCTAGGAGGGAAAGTAAGGCATGAGCAAAGGTATGGTTGGAGGGGTAACAGGGTCAGTCATTAACCAATGATTTTAAGTTAACATCTGCTAGAAACCTGGTCTCATCAGAGGTGAGCAAGAGCCAGAGAAGCAATGGAAGCCCAGCTTCCTTTTGCAATTGAAGATCCACCTGGCCTTGCTTGGTGCCTCGCTCCCTATCCCCGGGCCTCTCTGGCCTGGTAAAATGATACATTTCCTCCTCATTTAAGTAGTGGTTCTCCACCCCCCCCCACCGCCCCTGTCTGCTGACTCAGACACTCCAGAGATGGGGGCCCTGCAAGCTGTTTACTTTTAATACTTATTTTTATTTATTTATTTAGTTGTGCTGAATCTTAGTCACCATATATGGGATCTTTTTTTCTGTGGCATGTGGGATCTAGTTCCCCGACCAGGAATCAAACCCAGGAAGGACCCCTTACATTGGGACTGTGGAGTCTTCACCACTGGACCACAAGGCAAGTCCCAGCAATTTGTATTTTAACGAGCTTGTTAGGCGATTCTGATGCCCACTGATGTGTAAGAACCAATGATTTAAATTAACTTGAGCCCCAGACTTAGGTTTTTGCTGCTCACAGTCTCCATTACAGTGGTTCTTAACCTTGAATACATATTGGAATCACTTTTTAAAAAATGCTTATGTCTCCTTCCCACAGCCAGGTATTCTGATATAATGGGCCTGGACTAGACTGCTCAAGAAGATTTTGAAAAGGCCCAACTTATTCACATGTACATTTAAGTTGGAGTTCTAGCTGCAAGGGATACCAGAGGCTAATGCAGGAGTCTACGTGTTAAAGTGATGTTTGTCAGACCAGGGCTGTGGCCATGGCGATGGATACTTACAAGATCAACTAGAGACAAGAGGGAAGGGGGCAGGGCACAGCCACTAAAAAGATGGTATAGCCACTGAGGATACAACAAAAACTGGTTAGAACCAACTAGACTCGAGATGGCAGAAGATTTAACTAACTTCCAGTGGACCTGGAGCCTCACAATACAGCTCGCTCATTGAGATAGGTTCACATATGCTACATGACAGACTCACCCAAGCCACGAAGTGGGCGGGTAGTCCAATTTCTGGAAATCTCCACCCCTTCCTCCGAAACAGTTGGAGTAACCCTCCCACTTGTTAGCCTGTGGAATTACCCAGCCCATAAAAACGAACCCCCCCAGATTCCGGGGAGCTCTCATTTTCCCACTTGACCCCTGCCCTGAGGCCGCTCTCACCTTCTGAGACAGACCAGGCTCATGCTGGCTCGTGGTGGCTCATGCATCCCACCACATGCTGTCTAGGGAATGCGCGCATGCGTGCGTGCTCAGCGCTGAGTCGTGTCCAGCTCTATCCGGTGGGCTGTAGCCCACCAGGCTTCTCTGTCCATGGGAGTTTTCAGGGAAGAATACTGGAGTGGGTTGCCATTTTCTACTCCGGATGGAATGTGTACCTCTCTCAATAAACCTACTTTCACTTTACCGGGGCCGCTGTTGATTCTTTCCCCGCGCAAAGCCAAGGACGCTCACTTGGTGGTCTGACCCAGAGGCTCACCCAAGCCTGGCACATGACCATCTCCCTGTGCCCCATTTTCCTGCAGCAAACTGGTCAGGCCTTGGTAACACACAGAGGGCAGTGGGGAGTGGGGAAGAGCTGAAGACGACTGTTTTCCGAGGGCACAAGTGTCTGGATGGCGGTGCCCTTCCTGGGCCTGGGGAGCATGGGAAGGTTCAGGTTAGAGGGGGAGCCTGTGAGCTGCAGTCTCGGGAACACTGGGCTCTGTTTTGGCTCCGTCCGGGTTAACGGAGCTGTGGTACTTTCCGGACGGGGAGGTCAGGGTGCGGCTCTGAGCGAGAGCAGCACAGATACAGGAGAGGAAGCCCTGCAGTGGCAGGGCCCGGAGCTTGCCATAGAGTGAGAAGGGAAGTGGGCTGAGGAAGGGACCGGGGGTGGGGCTGAGGGGAAAGGCTCCCACGGCAGGGCCTGGGAGTCACTGGCAGCGGGGAGAAAGGAGAGCCTGGATTTGCAGGAAAAGAGTGATTCAAGAAGGAGGTCCAGGGGACTTCCCTGCTGGTCCAGGGGTTAAGTCTACGCTGCGAATGCAGGGGGCCCAGGTTCAATCCTTGGTCAGGGAACTAGATCTCACATGCTGCAACTAAAGATTCCACGTGTGGCAGCTAAGACCCAGCATGGCCAAATAAGTTTAAAAAAAAAAATTTTTTTTTTTTTTTTTTTTAAAGAAAGAGGTCCAAAGGCCCTGGGGACACTGCAAAATGGTTGTTGGATTTGGCAGTGAGGGAGCCAAGTGACCTTGGAAAGAGCAGAGTCAGGGCAGGGATGAGGCTGGGGTAGAAGTGGGGAGGGAGGAGGAGCCCAAAGGCAGGGGCTGGAGGCAAGTGGGAGGGGAAGAGGGAGAAAAGGCAGGTGTGGACGACTCTCTTAAGGGAAGGTGGCATCCAGAGGGGGACACAGGGTCAAGGGGATGTCCTCTGGGGACCTTTCCATCAGGATGAGTGAGTGAAAGCAGCAGAGCAGAAACTCCCAGGTATTGACCTTTCTGAGAGCCTATAAGCCTCTGTCTGCAGCAGCAAGTAACACCTAAAGGCTGGGTAGCTCTGTCACCTGCTGTGTCACTGTCACTCAGTCGTGTCTGACTCTTTGTGACCCATGGACGGCAGCCCACCAGGCTCCCCTGTCCATAGGACTCTTCAGGCAAGCATACTGGAGTGGGTTGCCATGCCCTCCTCCAGGGGATCTTCCCAACCCAGGGACGGAACCCAGGTCTCCCGCATTGCAGGTGGATTCTTTACAGTCTGTACCACCAGGGTAGCCCAAGAATACTGGAGTGGGTAGCCTTTCCCTTCTCCAGGGCATCTTCCTGACACCGGAATCGACCTGGGGTCTCCTGCATTGCAGGTGGACTCCTTACCAACTGAGCTAGCAGGGAAGCTCTACCTGCACAGTAAAAAGTGGCTAGAAGTAAGACAGCCTGGGTGGGCAGCTCGCAAACCATGAGAACTTGGGCTAGCTAACTTCTCTACACCTCAAATTTTTGGTTGTAAAGTGGGGACCATAGTAGATAGTAATCATTATAACAACTCTTCCATCGGATTTACGCCAGGCACTGTGGTAAGTATGTACATTTACTCTTCGGTCCTCACCACAGGTCTACCGAGGTAGGTGAGATGAGAATTAGGTGAGCAAATATACATAAAGCGCTTAGAATCATGCTTGGAACACGATGAACACTAGGTAACGGTACAGCTAGTCCTGTTATTATTATTCTACATAAACGTCAAAGCCCCCAGAAAACTGTCTCCTGTTTCTAGCCGGGAAACATCTCTGGATGGTCTGAGGACATGCGAGGATTCAGGCTTGAATGATAGTTCTCAGCGGAGAGCGGTTCAGCTATGAACATACTCCTCAGAGCCAAGGCCACCATCTGGTCCATAGCGGGCCCTCAGGAAATTGTTGTTGTTGTTGTTTTTAATTTAGTTGGCTGCACTGGGTCTTAGTTGTGGCATGCAGGATCTTTTAGTTCTGGCATGTGGGATCCAGCTCCCTGACCAGGGATTAAACCCGTGGCCCCCTGCACTGGGAGCATCCAGTCTCAGCCACTGGACCACTAGGCAAGTACCAAAATATTTGTTAAATGGGTCAATGAAAGGAAATTCCCTGGTGGTCCAGGGGTTCGGACTCCATGCTTTCACTGCAGGGGGCATGGTTTCAATCCCAGGCCGGGGGACTAAAAGACCGCTCAAGGTGCATGGTGTGGCTTAAAAAAATAAAAGGATCAATGAAAGGATCGATGAAGTATAGGGGCCATTTACCTCAACTCCCATCTGCAGCATCGGTTCCTGCTAAGATATCCAGACCCGGCAGCCACCCACCCTGTGCTTGCATTATCTCACATGGTGGAGTGGTCATGACCCCCAAGGCAGCTTTCTCCTTCTGGATGGTTCCGATGGATGGCCCTGTCGCTTTCACCCTGTGGTCCCCGCCCTGCCCTCCTCCTGTGTGGAAGGTGCTGAGCCTCTCTGAACCTGCCCGGGGCCACACAGGGAGGATCTCCAGGCTGTGTGCTGAGTCACTCAGTCATGTCCGACTCTTTGCCACATTATGGACTGTAGCCCGCCAGGCTCCTCTGTCCATGGGATTTCCCTGGCAAGAATACTGGAGTGGGTCGCCGTGCTGTCCTCCAAGGGATGTTCCCGACCCAGGGATCAAACCCGAGTTTCTCAAGCCTCCTGCCTTGGCAGGAGGGTTCTTTACCACTAGTGCCACTTGGGAAGCGTCTCCTTGCTTCCACCCTTTACTCTCTGCAGCCTATTCTCAGCTCTCCACCAGAGGGATCCCGTTAAGGTCCCTCTGATCTTGTCCCACCCTTCAGTCAAAGCCCTCCAGGGGCTTCCAGCTCAGAGGACAAGCTAAGGTCAGCGAGGCCCTCTACAAGGCCACAACAACTCTCCATCCCAGAATGAGACACGCTGACAGTCCCTGACAGTTTCTGTTTTTATTGATCAAGAATTCTTTACAAAATACACACACACACACACACACACATACCCCCCAGATACCTGCCCTGGTTTGGTCACCCCCTTGCCCACTCTCTCCTGGGATCAGACCTTCCTGGCCTCATCCGGGGATGCCACCCTGTGGCCTCTTCCCCTACCAGTGGAGGAACACAGAGAAGGAACTTCCTTTGTTTCCCTGCTTAGAAACACAGGCTAGGGCCCCACCTGTGGGGGGAGCAGGTGGGAGTGACAAGGAAGCATGGTTCCCTTCCCTCTTTCAAACCATAGCTGCTAAGGCCTTGGGATCCTTTTCCATTCAAAGCTTCCCCATCCCCACGTTGCAGACTGAAAACTGGAGGTCCCAAGACTGGAGGATGAGCCCCCTCTAGCCACCCCCGCCGCACCTGCCACCCTGCCCAGGTCACGGCATTAGTTGCTGTAGTAGAACAGGGACTGGAACACAGTTCTTCCCGGCTTTCGGCTTTCGAGAGAGAAAAAGGAACCCCGCTTGACAGCAGGACTCAGGGCAGGAGGGGCCCAGGGAAAGTAGCCCCAGAGAAGCTGAGTGAGCAGCAGGGTCTGGCCAGCACTATAAAGATTTGCCAAGGGCGCCCTCTGTGACTGCCCGTGTGGCTTGCTCGGGTATACAGTCTGGATCCGTCAGGATGCTGGTGGATGTACTCAGCTGACGTAGGGAGTTCAGAACAGCTGGGAAAAGAGAGAGAAAGAGGGGGAGAGACACTTTCTGGGGTCAGGGGTCATCCTACACTTGGATGCTAAAGACAAAAGGATCAGGGGAGGAACTAGTTAGCAAGACTGTCAGTCAGCCCCTGCCAGGAGCTCTGTCTTCAGGTGTCCAAGTGGTCCACTCCAGAGTGTGGTGGGGGATGGACAAAAGTCTAGGCTATACTGAAGACAGGCTGGACTGGGGTCTGAGCAGGGTGGGCCCCCCGCCCCCTGCTCTGAGGCTTGGACACTCTGCTGGGCAGGCACATACTTGGTCGGAGAGCAGGCAGGGAGCAGTACTGGTCCAGCCAGGCCAGGGAGGTCTGGCGGAGGCTCTGCAGGCTTGCTGTAGACACCATCCCGTTAAAGGACTCGAACAGGGGCCGGATGAGAATGCTGAACTGGAGCCAAGTCAAGGAGCAGGCCTGGCCTCCAGCTGGTACCCTCACCCGCTTCACATGGAGCCCAGATGCCCGGCCACTGTCCAGCCGTGAACCCCAAGGACCCCTACTGTAGCCACCCTCCCGTCCGCCGAGGTCCTCCCACAGCTCTCTGGCTCTCAGCTCCCTCTGCCAGCTCACCCATGGCTTTCTCTGGGCTAGCCCCCACCCCTGGGCTTCCTGCTCTGGCTCAGTCCAGGGCTCGACCAGGTAAGGGAATGAAAGATTCGAAGTCTTCCCGAGGGTCCACCCCAGTCATCTTACTCAGAGTTTGGGCCTTCCCTGGTGACTCGGATGGCAAAGAATCTGCCTGCCATACAGGAGATCTGGGTTCAATCCCTGGGTGGGGAAGATCCCCTGGAGAAGGCAATGGCTACCCTCTCCAGTATTGGGTTCTCCCCAGCTGTCCCTAGGGCCTTCTGAGGGCAGGGCTGTGGTCCTCTCACCCGGTTTCCTTCTACTCCCCTTCAGTTTCCCTCCACTCCCAGCCCATCACCAGGCAATGCTGCCAGCCAAGGTGCCAGGGGCCTGGCAGGAGGGGGTGGAATTGGAGCCCCTTCCTCTGGGAGCAGCTCCAAGACCCTGCCTGGCCTGGGGAGCAGGGCCTGCGTCAGGTACAGCTTGATCTGGCTGCAGCACACACCAGGCTGCTAGCCCAGTGAGGATACTACCCAGAACTTCCAGTTGTGCAGCGTGCGGGTCCGGACATAGTCATCGAACATGTCTCGCATTTGGTCGAACCGCTGGTGTGTGATGGGCACCCCAGTAGCAGGCAGCTGCTGCTGGCACAGGCTGGGGGGCATGGGGTGGGTGAGGGCGGAGAGTCAGGCAGCAGGCGCCCCCGCTGGCCCTGCACACCCTCCCCGCCCCCACCTACTTGATGGCGGCATTGAGCTCCTCGATCTGGTCCCGGAGCTGCTGGGCCTCCTCCTGCTTGGCTGCGCGCTCCTGCTGAAGCATGGTGATGTACTCGGCCGTCTTCTGCAGCGTGGTGGCCTTGCTCATCTACGGCGGCACCAACCAGGGCGGCCTTGGGTACTGGGGCCCCGGGGTGAGGTACTGGCAGGGGCGGAGGCCAGCGGGTGTGTGGAGGGCCTTGGGGTTTGGACTTGGGTGGGTGGGTGGGGGTCCACATGCGGCNGGGTCCACATGCGGCCGGGGGGGCCTGGACACTCACCTTGAGGTTGGGCTGGGTGCTGAGCGTGCTCACCAGCCCGTGTAGCGTGTCAAAGCCCAGCTTGATGTTGAAGCGCCTCTTCTGCTCCGCAGAGATGTGTGTGATGCGCCGGTTTTCTGTCTGGCAGTTGGGGGAGAGGCAAGAGAGCCAGAATGAGCCTGGGAGGGAGCACGGGAGGGCCTGGGGCAGAGCAAACAGACCTTAGGATGACAACGGGTGCCACCTTGCTGTCTGGACGGCCCCGGCTCAGCATGGGTTGCGGGGGAGAGATACGGATGCTCAGGGCCCCCGGGCCTGGCAGCGAGGTCAGCTCTGCAGACAGCCGCCGCTCACCACCTGTGCCGGGGACAGATGGACTCACAGACCGATGCAGGAGAGAGGGTCCCATGGCCCTGTCCCTCTCATCCTGGCCCCAGATGTCATCCTCCACATCCCCCTTCCCCTCCTTCCATCCCGCAAACCGCCCCTCCCCAGCTCCAACCCCTCTTTACCGCTGGGTGCTGGGGGCGAGAGCCGCTCCACTTTGGGGACAATCAGGGGCCTGGGAGGGGCCAGGGCAGCCGGGCCCGGAGGCAGTCGGGGTGGTGTGGGGGCCGGGGTCGGGGGAAAGAAGGTGCAGGGGAACTCGGGGAGAGTGTCCTGCTGCAGTGGAGAAGGGCAGAGAGTCGGGGTGAAGGCCCCGGGGTGCAGCCCCACCTCCCAGTGCCCGCTGTCTTACCGGTGACCCTGGGGGCCGGAGGAGAGCGCCGGACACAAGCGGTGGCTCCAGGGCTTGCTCAGGCTTGGCTGTGCACAGACAGCATGCTGGGGGCCCCATCCATCGTCTCCCAAGGTCCCACCCCTTCCTTCCCAATAGCCCGTATCCCTTCCGGGTTCAGGGTTAAGGACCCAGGACCTCTGGCTGAGCCAGCCCTTCACCCCTCACCCTCTAATCCCGCAGGCTCCCCGCGTCCACACTGGGTCCCCATCTCCCCCTCTGGCCGACTCACCAGCTGTCAGCAGCTGGGTGAGGCAGGGGTTGTTGCTCCCGGCAGCGGCAGTGGGGCTGGCAGTGGCAGGGGCCATGGCGCGGGTGCCGGGCTTCCGCCCTCTGGGGGACGGGGCAGGGGGCTTGCCTCTGGGCCGCGTACCTTGGGGTACCGGGAAGTGAGGCCCAAAGCGGGGCTCCGAATAGCCGGAGGGTAGCAGGTCTACGGGGAAGGGGGCGGGGCCTGGGCCAGGCTGCGGGGTGGGTGGAAAGGCCGTGGGAGCAGACAGCGGGGACACTCCCGGGGCAGGAGGGACGGCAGGGAAAGAGAACCTGGGCGAGAAGAGGGGCTCTTCTTGCAGCAGAGCAGGCGGCGGGGCCATGGGAGGGAAGGGGGGCGGGGGACAGGGCTCCAGGCCCAGCCCTTTGGCAGGGCTGGGGTACTGGAGGAGGGGTTGGGGTGCGGGAGTGGGTGGGAGCTTGGGCTTGGGGTCTTCAGGAAGGAGAAAATCAGAGTTCAGGTAGGTGCTGGAGTCCAGGGAGCCAGGGCAGCTGCTCCTAGCCTGGTTGGGGGACAAAGAGCGGGGGAGAGAGCTGGCCTTTTGGGGGGCCTCCCAAGCAACCTCCTGCCTGGCTGAGCCCTGGATTGGCCACTGGGGGAGTTGAATAATCCTTGGCCTCAGACACACACATGGGGGACATTACAATCTAATGAGGGGAGAGAGTGGGGCGCATATATACACAAATTTAAGCACGAGAAAGAGCATCAATCTTTTCGCCCGCTCATTTCATTCACTAAATTATCAATCTATCCACCAACCCATCCATTCATCCATCCATCCATCCATCCATCTAACCTCCATCCATCCACCTATCTATTTTCTCATCTATGAGCTAGCTCATCCACCTATATTTCCACCAGCCCACCAGGTACTAACCCATTCACCAATCCATCCAACCACCTATACTTCCTTCACTCACCCACCAACCCTTCCACAGTCCATCCATCTATCCACCAGCTACATATCCATCCACCAGCCCATTTATTGACCCACCACATACCACGTGGTTGTCACTCAGTCGTGTCTGACTCTTTGCAACCCCCTGGATGGTAAACCTGCCAGGCTCCTCTGTCCACGGGATTCTCCAGGCAAGAATACTGGAGTGGGTTGCCATGCCCTGCTCCAGGGGATCTTCCCAACCCAGGGACTGAACCTGGGTCTCCTGCATTGCAGGTGGATTCTTTACCACCTTAACCACGAGAGAAGCCCTTTACTGATCCAGCAAACTACTTATTCATTTATGAATCCATCCTCCAGCCCATCCACCCAACCAACCACTCACCGACCTATATATACACCAACCATACAAGCATCTACCCCCATCTACAACCCAGCAATCTATTCTGCAACACACCCACCCACTCACACACTCATCCATCCACTGACTTGTTCAATTACTGGGCAACCATTTTTGCCTGCTGTGAATGTGTTTGATCGGTGCTCAGGATGGGAAGATGCAATGTGGCAAGTGTGAGGATGTGGTGAGTGAAGCAGAGCCCTTCCAGCAAGGAGCTCATCACCTAGTCCAGTAGACAGACCTCTCAAACAACGAACTAAGACAGTGCCGGAAAAGTCTGATGACGGGGGGGAAAGGCAGCTAGCCTAGCATCGGGGGTGGGGGTGGGGGGGCAGCACTGGAATTGGCCCTGGAGTTCCTGAGCCAAAATGACAAGAGTCACATCTTCCTAAAGGCACGTGCTCAGCTTCAGTCTCCATGTTTCCGTTCATACTTCTCCGCACATCTGGCTTACCCTGTACTGGTCTCTTCTGCCCAAACCTGACTCATTCACAAAGCCCAGAACTGCCCCCTCTTCCAGGAAGCCCTCCAACAAGCAGCCCAGCCCCATGCTCCTCTGTCCTCAGCCTCCCTCCCTCAACCATCTTGTCAGCTCTGCTTCACGAGGGTCTTTCCTCCCCAGCTGAACCATGCCCTCCGATCTCTCTCGATGGACTAAGCATACCCAGGAGGTACCCCGAGGGTCTCCTGGGTGTGGGCAGGTGATCGGGGAAGGGTGGGGTGGGGTGGGTGAGCTCACCTGCAGGCGGTTATGCCCTGAGAGGTGGGTCATGCCCGAGCAGGCAGGGGGCACCTCCGAGCCCAGGATCCCACTGCCGAGGACGGGGTCAACCATGGGCCCGAAGCCTTGGGGCTCTGGGAAGTTTGATGGTGTAGGCGTCTGTGGGGGGCGGTAGTTGGTGAAGAAATCTGGAATTCAGACGCACAGGGTGGCAGCCGTCAGGGTTAAAGCCGTGGTTGGAAGCAGCGGGCTGGCCCTGTCCCTGGGCTGGGTTTGCAGTGGGGTGGGGGCCGGCAAGGGAGGGGGGCCTTCCAGGGGAGATTGTGAAACTGGGAGAGTTTCTGTCTCACTCAGGGGAAGCAGCGGCAGAGGCTCGAGTGGGATGGGCCTGAGTGGGAGACAGCCGGGGAAGGGCATGGGGGTGTCAGTGGGACCGCAGGAAGCAGCCCTCCCACCGAGCCCCCAGACTGGCTCCTGGGGACCCCCTTCCACACCCCCAGACCTGGGAACCCCAGGCCTTGTCTGCGCCTGCTGGGGACTTGGAAAGTGTGTTGGGGGTGGGGTGGGGGGGTGACTACAGATGCCAGGAAGGGAGAGAGGGTGAGGTCCAAGGGGAGGAGGTCTAAGATGGGGAAGGGCACCATCAGGTTGTCAGGAGGGCACCAAGTGAGTCGGGGGAGAGAGAGGTCAGAAGGTCAGTGGGTCTGGGACAAGCGGGGTTTGTTGGAAGGTCAGTGGGTAGGGCTACAAGGGTGGAGACCAGGAGTAGGGGGTGAGGGGCCTAAGAGGGTATGAGCAGGGTCAGCGGGTGGGCTCAGAGTGGGGGCAGAGGTGAGGGGGTGCTAGAAGGCCTGAAAGAGCTGGCGGGGTGGGGGGCAGCCAGATTGTTGGAGGTGGGGGTTGTGTAAGCCCCAGGCTATTCTGGTTTTGGGAAGCAGCTGTCCGCGGCCTAACCACATCCCGGGCCCGCTCGCCGCCCGCCCACCCGCTCCCTTCCGGGCACCTTTCTCTGACCCTGAGCAGCCTTCTGTCTGCATCAGCTTCCAAGGCCTCCTGGTCTGGCCAGAGGCGACCCCACTGGCCCCAGCCACCCTGGCCAAGACAGCCGGTCAGATTTTCTCCCAGGGGCCCCCTTGAAGGAAACCCAGGAGTGGGATAAGCCAGCATCAAGCCGTGAGCCCTGTAGGGTCTATCATTTGTGCGTCTTATGGGACGGTGGGGCCCAGGTGCTGCTGGGCGGCCAGTTCTGGGTGTGTCTGTCTCACGAAGCATCTGTCTGTCTGCCTCCCTGTGTGTTGGTCCCGCCGTCTGTCGCTCTGTCTGAGCCTGCGTGTACCTGCCCTAGTGTGACTTGGCGTGTACGTGTCTGCCCCGCGCCTGTGTCTGTGTTGGGCTGTGTGTCTTTCTCGGCCACGAGGTCAGGATCCTCCAACCTCCCTTCAGCAGAAGGACTAGGAGGTGGAGGGTGGGCACCCACGGACCCTGTGACCCCAGCCCCACAGGGACCACGGGCCTCATCCCGTCGCCCCAGGATGCTCAGGGTCTCAGAGCAGCCCCCCTCACAGCTGCCTCCCACTCCCCAGAATCGGGCAGGGCTCACAGAGCAGCAAGCCCAGCCCGGCCCGAGTCACCAGGCTTCCCTGGTGGGGACCATAGCCGGTCCCAACCCCACCTTAGTTGACAGAAGTCACTTCCTAGCAAGTTCACAGGGCCACTTCAGAGGGCCACACTAGCCCCCTTGTGTGACACAGGCCCCCTGTGGTAGGTCACCCCAGCTGGACCCCTCTCCCGCAGCCACCCTGCACTTCCTAGCCCGACACTCAGATTTTTGCCCAGAGCCCCGGGGTGGGGGCCACTGGGCTCCTACCTGTGGCAGGGGTCTGTGGGCCCCGAGAGGGCCGCTGCCCTCCCAGGCGGGTCTGATCCCAGGGCACTGCCATCAGCACGGCTGCGGTCCCTGCAGTACCCCCGCCCAGAGCAGGGGTGGGGGTGGTTCCTCATTCCCTCGTCCCCGCCCCCATGGGCCTCCACCTCTCAACTGACAGGCCCAGGACCCCGCCAGTCAGGCAAGAGTGGAGGGGTCACCAAAACCAAGCCTTTATGCCAGGAACCCTTTTTGTGTCTCCGAGGCCTCCGCTGAGACAGGTTGGGCCCCAGAGTCCCCTAAGCGTGTGACCATCGGGAGCAGTCTCCAAGGCCGACAGCTGAGTGAAGAAAGCAAAGTGGGAAGAAAGCTGCCGTGGAGACCAAGAGACGTCTGTCCCTGTGTGCTGTACAGACGGGATGTCTCTGGAGGGACACGAGACACCAGTGGCCGGTGGCCCTGGGGCTCAGGAGAGGGAGGTAGGGCAAAGGGCTACTTTAAAGAATGCTTTATAAGATTCCTGGGATTAAAAAAAAAATTACATAGGAGGAGAGAAGTGGGTGAGGTCTAGATGAAAGAAGAATGGCCAAGAATTGATAAATGTTGGTGTTGGTGAGGGTTCCATGGAGGTTCTCCTTCCCTACCTGTGTGGGTGCTTGAAATGTTCTTTAACAAACAGTTCTTAAAAATGAGTTATATAAATACGAGTAAACAGACTCAAACAAAGGAGAGGGATCAAAGCCCTTCTCTCCCGAGAGAGTCCATGCTTTCCTGCGAAGTCCTCAGAGCTGATGGCTTCAATGGACCTGATCCCCTGTCCCCCTCCGGGTACCCTGATCTCACCGGAGGCTACTCCGGCTGCATCCCAAACATCTGCATCTGCCCAGACAAAGGGAGACCAGGAAGATCCCTCAGAAATCACCCAGATCATCTACCCTTTCAGAGGGGCCTGGGACCAGCCTGAGGTCTCAGTCATACTGGGGCCTTCCTACCACTGACCTGTGGAGGCCCACCCACCCAGGGGGCGGGGCCTGCCCCACCTGAGATCTCCATGAAGTCATCCAGGCTGGGCTGCAGTGGCGTCAGGTCTGGCTGGATCATGTCAGCATTGCCCACGTAAGCTGGAGGGGGCAGGGGTGACGTCAGGAGCGTCAGGCAGGGTGGAGGTGGGGTGCACCCATCCTGGCCATCCGCCTCTGGCTGCCTGGACCCCTTCAGGCCCCCCTTCCCTGGCGCAGGCCCTCACCGTCCTCAGGTGGCGGCTGCAGGGGTGTGGGGCTGGGCTGTGTCATGGTGAAGAGCGTATCAGAGATGTCGGACAGGAAGCAATCGAGATCCAGAAGCTGGCGCCCACCCGGCTCCTCCTCTGGGCCCCCCAGCAGCACGGGCACCACGCTGGTGAAGAGCTGCTCGCACCATCGCTCCGGCGGCTGCCACCCCCTTTCCGCCTGGGGAGACAGAGCCGTCAGCAGCCCCAGGAGACCCCACCACCACCCCATTCCTTCCCGGCCTGGAGACCCAGGGCACTCCCACTGCCCCTGGCTCTTCCGGGTCGCCCCCTGCCTGGGGGGAGGGGGTGGTCAGCCATCTAGACAGGCTGCTCTCCGCTCCTCTCTCAGGTGGACTCAAGTTTGCTGCCTGAAAGGCTAGGGACACCGCACTGGCCTCTAACAACTCTCCCCAGGAAATAGACTGAGACGGGATTACTGAAGAGCAAAGGGTCCCCTCCTGCCTCCTGCACTTTTCCCTACCTGGGACCGCGGTTCTTACAGCCCTCGGTTCCCCCATGCCTCCCCACCACTTGCTTAGCCAACCAGAAGTCTTGGGGTCTTCCCACTACTGCGCTCCAAGGCTGCGCCTCCCAGGGGAAGAAGAGTTCAATTCACCAACCACAGGACAGCGGCCACGCCCACTCCCCTGCCCTCCCACCACCACTGCCTAGCCCACCCAGAGGCAACCGTCCATCTTCTGGGTCCAGGGAGCACCCACCTGTTTTGGGGCCAGGAGATCCCCTTCCCGACTGGACTTACGGAGCTGCAGGAACACACAGAGGGGGACACTGGACCTCCTGAACCCATCCATCCCTCCCCGCCAAGGCCTCCCCTACTCGCGGGCTCCCCCCAGATCCACCGGATCCCTCACAGCCCCTCGGGAGTTCTTTGGCGGTAAGGAGGCTGCGAGGAGGTCCTGTGGCCACGCGGTGGCACTGTCGGCCTGGGTCTTAGTGGAGGGCCGGTGGGGGGATGTTGGTGCAGGGGGGTGGGAAGGGGGCGTTCCCCCAGGGCTCTTGCAAGCGACACAGTGGCCTGCAGCCGCAAGGGAAAGGGTCCTCCCCCCCGCGCCCACTGACCCGCTTCTTGTAGTAGATGCGCCACTTGTGATACTCGCGCATCACCACCTCGATGCGCCGCTTCCAGTAATTTCCCTCCAAGACGACGGCCTGGGGAGGGCCGGGAAGGGGCCTCAGTGCAGGGGTAGCACTGACCCCACCCTCACCCCAGTCTCCCTCTGGCCCAGTCCCCTCCCGCTCAGCACGAGGAGTGATGGGCAGCAGGGGGCCCGGTTTGTCAGGGCGGCAGGTGATTGGTCCAGCTGGTCTCGGCTACCTGCGGTTTCCGGTGCTCATCAGCCTCAGGCCCCTGCAGGGGGGTCACGAAGCCACACACGGGGCTCTTCCTCCGCTCCACATCTGAGAGAAGGGGGCCAGGTCAGGGGTGCCCAGCTCTCTCATCTGCCACACTATGAAATTCTGCCAGGCCTTCCATGCTCAGATTAAGTGCCACCTCCTCCAGGAAGCCTTCCAGGCTGCTCTGGCCCTCCTAGATCTCCCTTTTCTATGAGACCCTGTGGAACAAACCTCCCACGCTCCATCTGCTCCTTTGGGAGCTTAGTAGGTGTGCAGGCAATGCTTGCTGAGTGGGAAATGTGGGGCCACAAGGAGTGAATTGTCCAGGGAAGGTCTTGGTCAGGCTGGCTGGTTAAAGGTCCAGAGCCCTGGTTCCTGCCTCAGGGTGCCCATTTCCATCTCAGAGAACCATCCCTGCTCCCCTTCAGGCCACCTGCCTGAGTCCTTTCTCTACCTCCTCCTCTCCCATCCGTGTCTCCAGCCCTGATCTCTCCCCAGGCTCCTTTTGGGCCAATAAACAAGTGCCAGGCTCTCCTTTACCTCTCAAACCTTCCCTTTGGCTTTCCTCCCAAATGCTGGAAGAGCTGTCACTCACCACCTCCACTTCCACGCCTCCCAGTGGCATGGTCACTCCTGTACCCCAGCATCTGTCCCACACTCACCCTGCTGACCCAGCTCCTGAACTCAAGGCTCTGGCCCTCCCCAGCCCCATGCTCCCTGACTTTGGCTTCAGGGCACCCCCCTCCTCCTCCCTAAGCCCCAGGAAACTTCCCTCTGTTCTCCTGTCTCCCTGACCACTTTTCACTGGCCCTGCTGCCAGCCCCACCCTAACCTTTGTCATCCTGCTCCCTTGCAGCTTCAGACTCATCTTCAGCTGTCTGGGGGAACCTCCACTAGGCACTCTCAAAACATCCCTCACAGATGTTTGGGGACTTCCCTGCCAAGCCAGAGCCTCCTGTGGACTGCCCACCTGGCCTCCCAGTGCCCCCAACGTCCCATCACCTCCCAGTGTCCCCATCTAATCCATGGACTGACCCTCTAAACCTCAAGGATGTGTGACATTTCTTCCACCATTCCCTCCCCTCCATATGCTCACTGTCACCCCCAGTCTGGTGTCATTTCTCACCTAGACCTCCCTGACTCCAGCCCCACCCTCTCCAGTTCACCTTCCTTCTGTGACCAGGCCAATTCTTCCTAAACCACTGGCAGTACAGGCCTAAAACACTCCAGGATCCCTGAACCTCCTAGGTAAAGTTCCCGCCCCCTAGCCTGACTTCCAAGCCCCTATGACTGACTCCCTGCTTCTGCCTTTCCGTCTCCTTCACAGGCCCCACCTGGAAGCCAGACAGCTACCCACCCACCCCACTCCCCTGCCGCAGCAGCCCTCTGGTTTTATTCTATGCGGAATGCCTTTCCCTTTCCTCCTTTGCTTCACCCACCCACATCTACACCCCCCATCACGATAGCCCAGGACAGCCTCTCTACCGGGAAGCCTTTCCTTGTCTGAAACAACCTCTCAGTCCCACCTGCCTCGCTCTCTGCCCTGCCTCAGCCATTTCTCTGCACGCTGGCCTCTCTGCTGGGAGTGAAGGCAGGGGTGGTGCCCTTTAGCCCCAAATCCTTGCATCTGGCACAGATGCAAGGCACACAGCAGGCCTTTAGAACACTGGAACCCGCCCCACAATGAAGTGACTTTTCCTGGCAATCTTGACAAAGAGGACTTCCGGGGTGTCTGTGGAGCCCATCCTGCTTCAACCCACAGCCAGCTTCCTCTGACACAGAGGAGGAGGGACCACCTGACCATGGAATTTCTTGGGACCTTCAGCATCATTTACAAAGTTCTGTCCTAAAGGACATTCTCCAAGACTATCCCTGTGGGAGTGGGGATGGGGGCTGTCCTGGTTGCTAAGCAGGGCTTGGACAGAAAGCAAAGGGAGGGCCCTTGGCTGTGTGAACTCCCGGGGATGAGAGCAAGGAGGATCTCAGATTCTCTGCTCCTGGTTCGTCGTTGAGAATATGAGCCAGGAAAGATCGGCCTTGTCCAGGGTCCACAGAGAGTAAGCGCTGAGCAGGCCTGGTCAGGCTCTGCCCTCCCCCACCCGGTGACCCTGTGCTCTGGATGGAAGGGCAGGGATCCTGTGACTTCCTAGGGCTGGGGCCTTACTTAACAATGGTAAGTTCATTGGTTCCTGCAGCCTCCTAGCCCCTTGCACCTGTGCTGGGACAGGGGACGCACAGAGGAATCAGGGATGAACCACCCAGCTTATGGGGAGAGACAAGGAAAGCACACACATCACAAAAGCTAAAGCAGGGTGGCAGATCTGCCCAGGAGAGGGGACAGTGCCCTGGGAGCTCAGGGGTAATACGATGATTTGGCGGTGTGGACAAGGAAAAGGAAGGGAGCTTGGAGGCCTGGAGCCTGCCCAAGAGAGGCAGGTGTGAAGGGGAGGAGCCAAGCAGCCCCCCAGCAAACCCGCTCCTCCGCGTTTCCTGAAGCCCACCTTCAAACCTTCCAGGCTCAGGAAGGAGGAGTCCTGATACTGGGTTTCAGGCCCGCCTGTGTGCTGTTCTTATTATCACAATAACAGCAATAAATCCCAGCATTCACCTGAAGGGAGCCCTTGTGTGTGTCAGGCGCTGTGATGAGACACGGATCATCTGTCTTGCTGAAAACCCACAGCAAGCCCGAGCAAGAGGGTGTATTGTGATTCCCACTTTACAGATGAGCAAGCTCCAGCTGGGGGAGGCAGGGACCTTGCCCAAGGTCACAGAGCTAGGACATGCGAGAACTTGACTCAACTGCCCTGTCTGACTCGGAACTCGGGGTCCTTCCATCAGCTTGTGCCATAGTCTGGGTGAGGACCCCCGGCTGGCATCAGAAATTCCTTCTGCAGAGAGAGAAGGGTTTGCATCCCATCCTGCTTTGGAGGGAAAGCCTAGAGGGGAAACCTCAGGGTGGCATGGGATGGTGGGGGAAGTTAGAGACTCCTTCTCCCCCTAGCCTACCAGCTTCCTGGTTTGGGCAGGGCCTGTCCTGAGCATTCTCACTGGAAGCCAGCCAGCTGGGAGCAGTGGAAGGGGCGTTGGGCTGAGCTGGAGAGCCCTGAACTCACAGCCAGTCAGAGCTCTGCTCCTTTTATGCTCCATCGCCCTGAACACGTCAGTATTCCTGCCTGGAGAATCCCCATGGACAGAGAAGCCTGGCGGGCTACAGTCCATTGGGAGGCAAGGAGTCGGACATGACCGAGCGACTAAGCACACACCCTGAACAAGTCACTCGCCTTCTGGGCCTCACCAGCTCATCTGTAAAATGGGGGTAATAATAACCTGTCTCCCAAGGTTGCTTGGAAGCCTTAAGTAAGATGATTTATGAACCTGCCAGGCACATAAGGCAAATAGAAACCAAAAAACAAAACAAAGCAAAAACAAAAAAACCACTCCTTTTCTCTGCTTGAATGGAACCCAGTGGGGCCGGTATAGAGAACATACGGGTGGGCCCTTGTGGGCTGTGTTCCCAGCTCAGCACAGCCTTCGATCCTCAGGAGGGCCTTACTGAGCTGGACCAGGTCCAGCACGGGATCGACCGGCCTCTCAGCTTCTGCTGCCCTGCCATCGGGGATGGGTGGGTTTTGCATCCCCAAATGAATGACCGTGACCTCCTCAAGGGTACATCAGATTCAACCATCATTTATTAAGCGCCGGCTTTGTGCCAGGCCTGTTCATACCTGTGATCCCCATGCCAGCCATGAAAGTTAGGACTCTTGGCCTCCTTTTATAGATGAGGAAATGGGTTCAGAGAGGTCAGACAACTTGCCTGCAGTCACACAGCCAGCAAGGGCCAGAGACAGGGTGGGAAACAGCTCTGGGTGACTCTGAAGCCAGAGTCCCTTCCACTCAACCACATGGCCTCTCTGGGCTCCCTCCTCTCAAATCTCCATGGCAGAGGGGCACCTAAGGACCTCAGGGGATAGCTGGTGGAGACCCACCAGGATATGAGTTTCCCCTTTGCGATTGGCCCAGATAGTGCTGAACGCCTCTTTCTACCCTGGCATTTGAGGCGCCTGACTACACTAACGGATGGGCTTTGAACTGTTCCCCCAACTCAGCCCACGTTAGGACTTCTAAGGGGTAACTCCTGCTGTGCCCAGCTTCACAGTGGAGAGTCCCTTCGGAACGGACACGTCCCCCGCGACCCTCTGGGTTTAGAAGCTGTCGAGGGGTACTGATGCCGGGGACCCCGGTCTCCCCCAAGGTGCTCTGCCGGAGCCGGGGCTGAGGGTGCCCACTCACACTGGATGTACCAGGCCCTCCAGATGGCGTTGTTGAGGCGGATCTTGTCCCGGCACAGCAGCTTGAGGCCTTTGAAATTCTTCCACTTGGGGGAAACCAGCTTTCCACTGTCAGAGGGAGAGGGCCGGGTCAGGGTGCAGGTGTGGAAAGTTGAAGGGGGGTGGTGGGCTCCACTCTCTTCCCAGGCCAGGGGGCACTCATCTGTGGTGAGGGACCACCCCCAAACCCTGCCCCTCACTCTTCCCTGCCTGAAATGACTACCTTTAAAATATTCTCCCAGGCCCCACTCCAGGCTTCTGTGTTCCTCTGGCGAGACCTGCTGAGACCTGTGTCTAAGCTCGGTCCTTGGAATGACAATGCCTGTCCATTTCTTGCTGAAGGAAACTGAGGGTCAGGAGTGCCCAAGGACACATGGTGGAATCTCACTCAGGCCCTGTGGCTTTTTTTCTCCATCCATCTCACTGGCCCCCTGAGTCCCCAGGGGGGCGGGTCGGGTTTGTCTGAGTTCAGAGGGAACCAGTTCACCAGAGGCGACCTCCAGGCAGCAAGCCACGGCCTTTTCACTGCCTGTCCAGTGTCTGCCCAGCCCAAAACCCCAGCATGGCTATCTGGACTGAGCTGGAAGGTACACTGTTTCCCAGAGTGTGTGTAATGCGACAGCCACCAGGGCCCAAAGGAAGGCAGCTAGGATGGTGGAATGATGGGCAGGACCCTGACCCAGGTAGTCAATCAAATCCACACAATGGATTGGGCTTTACCAGGTGAGGGGCTTGACTCTCAGGGTCCTGATGGTCGCAGGCCAAGCCTGCCACCCCCAAGGAGCAGGCCTGGGGTGTCAAGATGTTCAGGGTCTGAGAATCCCTGCTGGCCCCTCGCTCTTGCCTTTTCCCTCCTTCCTCATGGTTCACCAGCTGGGGTAATATACGAGTCTCCTCTGGCCCACCTTCTCTTGCTCACATGGAAGGCTGAGGCCCCAAGGCTTAGTCTTCCAGAAGACCAGGTCTGCTCTCTCTGGGGGCCTCTCTCAATTCCTGGAGCTGAGGGGCAGGTGGGTGGCAGTCTGGCTCCTACAGCCCCTTGAGTACCTAAGTCACTGGGTCCCTCTACTCTCTGGTCTCCCAGCTCCTGTGTTTGCTTTGGGGTGGGGTGGGGGGACTGCTACCCCAGGGTACAACAGGCCTCATTACCCAAATAGGGTACATGGCCCAAGCACCCAGTCCGCTGGCTGCCCCCCCCATCCCTCGTAAGTTAGGTAAACACCATCTGTCCAGTAGGGAGACAGAGAGAGGGGGGCACTCTGATACCTCCTGGGCCAGCTTCTTTTGTGGTACCTGGGGGAGGGTACTCCTGAGTCTGTGGCCCCAGCCTGTATCCCAGCAACTTCCCAGCCCACTCTGATCACCCAGTGCCCGCCCCCATTCCCCACCTGCCTCCCTCCCTCTGCCATTACCCCACTGAGGTTATAGTGTTTGTGGCCAGGCAGAACTCGGGGAGGTGAGACAGTGACATCCAAGCCCAGGAGAAAAGGATTTGGCTGGGAGGGGAGGAGAGGGGCCCAGCCTGGAGCAAAAAGCCTGTGGCCAGAGTTCAAAGGGTTTTTTATGACCAATAGAAATTCTGGGAATTTAGGGAATGAGAAGAGGAAAATGCATAACTGCCTCCCTCACCCCACATATCTACCTTGCAGAAATTCCTTTAGAGTTTTCCCTGATAGCGCCCTGCTTGTTCTCCCTCATCCCTGAGGCCATTCTTAGCCAGCCAGCTCTGACCATGAACAGGTATTTTCTCAGAACTTTCAGAACTTGCCTCCCTGAGACTTCCACCCACAGAATCGTGGAACACGGGTCTTCTGCCCATGCAAGCAGTCCTTTCTCTGCCCACACGCCCTGCTGAGGGTGAGAACTGACCAGACATCCGCAGGCTGTCCCTCCAGGTCAAACTTACCAGTTCCACCCCGCACCCCTGGACCCCCCTGCCTTGCTGTCCCTCCCCATCTACTTTCTCTCTTGGGATACCCCAGCTTCATCACTCCTCTCCCCTCCAAGGAACCCCTAAGATTAGAAGTCTTTAAGGGCTAAAAACACTGTCCGAGTCTGACTCAGTTTTTCCCTCTGCCAAATGGGAGAACTCAAGAGTCCTCTGGTACCGAGCCACTCCCATCCCTACCCCTTAGGCCCCCACTCAGGGCCAGCCACAGAGATGGAATATTCTTGTTTAGGGAGAAAGCCCAAATCTCTCTACCCCAGCTTCCCCTAACTGGGGTCACAACAGTGTCAGCCTCCTAGTGGGGGTGGTTCTGTGAGTGGGCTCTGTCCCCTGCCTGGCCTTTTCCCCTGAATATCCCCTTTTGGGTCACCCATGGTCTGGGATGGGGGGGTGGGCCTGAGCCAGCCCAGGCAGAGCAGTGTGTGGTATAAAGCAAGAAGCTTCAGTTGGGAATAGGTGGGAAAAGGGGACCCTGGAGGACCCTGGGAGCAGGTGCTCCCCCTGGTCGGATCCCGCATCCGGTGCCCCGTGACCTTAGATGCCCTGTCCCCTGAGGTCCCGTGATGTCCGAGGAGGGGAGGGAGGAAAGGGATGGGAATTTGAACTTTCCACACAGGTCTGGCACTCTGGGCGATCAGATTGCAACATGACCTGGGCCCGGGGCCAGAGCGTGCAGGCCAAGGTTATGAAGCGTCCAGCCAATGGGGTCCAGGCTGGGCGCCGCAGCAGGGGGTGGGCGACACTCCCCCGCAATCCCCACCCCTGCTCCCGGCTCCCAGGCAGTGCCGGTCTCTAGCCAGCGGTTCTCAGAAGAGGAGGAGGCGCCGCAGAGGAAGAGGAATATTTGCACAGAGAAAAGATCAAGGCCGGCCGATCCCCCTTTCTCTCCTCCGAGTTTTCGGTTGATAATTTATCCTGGTCCCTCCGCTCCGGGGAACTTTGCTCCGGGGCACCGAGCCAGGACCCTGGTTCGCGCCCTCCCCTGGGACACAGGCGTGGAGCTGGGGCCGGGGCGCGGCCGGCGTGCTCTGTGACGCGCTGAGCAGGGGTCCCAAGCAATATTAGGCGCAGAGCCTCGCGCGGCGACTCGGGGAGGCGATCCCAGGCACCCCCCTCCCCGACCCCCGTTCCCGGGGACCATCCCTGCGCAGCCTGTATCACCCCATGCCGGACCCCGCTGGGAAACTGCGAGGGAGCGCCTCCTGGGTCCTCCCCAGGCAGTCTCTTCCCGTCACCCTCGACCCAGCAGGTTAAGAACAGGTTAATTGTCCCGCAATCGAGGGGTGCAGGGTGGACGAGAGACTGGATTTCAGTCGACGTTGACTATGAACTGGGACAACCAAGGCGCGAGGAGCATCGGGCGGGTGCAAGAAGAGTCGGCCTGGGCAGGGGCTTCCTTATTGGGAGCAGAAGGCTGCAGGTAGTCGGGTAGAGTGACCCCCGGGGTGAACGGTGGGGATGTTAGGGCCGCCTAGGGTCCTGGGAGCGCGAGGGATGCCCTGCTGGCATTCTTTGGGAGCGGAGGGGTCAGGACTCGGAGAGAGAGGCCGGAGGTGGGTCTCTGGAGGTCGAGGCGGAGGGCAGGACGTCCCTGCCCTACGGAGGGAGTCTTGGTGGCGAGGAATGGGAACCCGGGAGGGATGCAAGTCGGGGGGCCAAGTGGAAAGGGCGGGATCGGAGACACTCCTGGGTGGAGGAGAAGAGGGGATCCAGGATGTGGCCCGAGTCTCTGAGAACAGCTGGGACCAAGGCTTAGGGCCGGCTGGGTTGGCCGGGTGGGTTGGCCGGGGGCCCCAGAGCGAGGTCCCGCCATGGAGGGCCGAGGCTGTCGGCCCCGGAGCCGCCCTCACCTGTAGGCCAGGCTCATGCACTCGAACAGGCGGGTGAGTGTGGGGTCGATGCTGCGCGGCCCGAAGTCGGCGTGCCCTAGGGACCCCTCCTGGTCGCGCCGCCGGGTCAGCGAGTCGCTGTGCGGCGACGACACCATGAAGTGACCGCTGTGGATGACCTGCGAGCGAAGCAGCCCGCCCGCGCTGCGCCGGGTATTCGGGTCCTCCGAGTCTGTGTCTGAGTCCGAATCCGGGCTGGGGACGACCCGCGGGCCCTGCAAGCCCGCGACCAGACCCGCCAGCGCCCCGGCCATGGTCATCGCCGCCGCTGCCTCGCCTGGGCTCCGGGCAGCTGCGGGCGCAACCTGTGTGGCCAGACCGGCTCATTAGCATAGGCCCTCCCACCACTTATAGCATAGCCCCGCCCTCCCACCGCGATAGGTCGCTCGAGGGGGCGGGGCCTCGGGGCGCGCGGGAGCAGACGGGGCGGGCTTATATTAGCAGTCAATACGCCAGTTGTGAGAACGTCGGGTCAGAGCTCTCGCAGTTTTAGAGTTTGGAAGAGGAGATCTCTTATCTCCTCGCCCGTCTTTCCTTATGCTGTGACCACCTAGTTCCTGGTGGAACCGCCCCTACGTCACCAAAACGGCTCTCAAGAAGAGTCGTTCACGCTTGAGCCAGAAAGTCCTCACTGCCAGGAATCCTTGCTCCCTGGGTCGCCCTCCCGTGATTCCTCTCATCTAACTAAGGCCCCCCTGCCCTCTCTGACCTCCCGGCTCATATTCACTCCCTCTCCCGTGCTCCACACAGCTGAAAGCACCAAGTCTCGCGTGGCCTGACCCACAGGAAGGTCCGGATACCTCCAGTTATCATTGTAACCGTCGCTGCACCTGCCCAGAGGTCGTGGGGGGTTTACCTGAGTGTGAATCCTGCCTGGACACGCGGGGCCCGTACCAGTGGTGAAGTGAAAAGGAGAGCCTTGGTCACCCTCCCCTGGACACCCCCTAGGCAGCCCACCGCTCTGGGTCCCCTCCTCTCACCGACCCTGTGGTCCAGCTTGTGTTCTCGTTTCTAGAGGCCCTCTTCTCATCTAGAAGAGACAAACTAGGCTGTTTGGTCGGAGGCATTTCACACCTGTCACTTCACTGGCACCTTTCACAACCTTTCGGGTGGGTTCTTAACCCACATCAGAGGGGGCACCAGAATCCACAGGCATGGAAACAAGCCTGGAAGAATTCCAGGCTTCCCACCCAGGGCCATCTCTGCTGGCGGGGGTGGCGGGGCGGTCACTGAGGTCTGGAGGCAAATGTTAACCTCCCTTGACTTTGCGGAGGGTGTGGTCTCTGTTAAGTCACAGGCAGACCAAGGGAGGACGTGGTCAGTTGGGGGCTGAAGGCTTGGACAAGGCTCCCCTACACACTTTCTTCCAGCCCATGGCAGGGTCACACAGCTCCCAGAAGCAAATGGCAGAGCCCTGAGGGCCACTGGGACCGCTTGAGGTACTGAAATGGTTACCCAGGCTGGCCACAGGCCAGCCCTTCCATCCACCACGTCCCCTGGACAGGTTCCCTTTGTCCCTGCCAAACAGTCACTACATGTTCCCAGGAGCCCCAGCAACCCTGCACCACTTCCTCCCTGCTGCTCTCTGCAGGGGGCGGATTCTCCCTGCGCACCTCTCCCAAATTCTGGGGAGGTGGGTCCTCACGTGCCCACCTCAGCCTGCCCTCCTCTGGAGAGAGGGCCATCTCTAAATGGCCCTTTTGGAATCCTTGGCTCAGTGAATTATCCTTCATGTGCCTGTCTGACTTCTCCTCTGGCCTCTGGGCCCTGAGGCAGAACTGTATCCTAGAGTATCTGAACCCCCACAATGGGCACCCAGGGACTTGGGGGACACATTGTGGGGGTAGGGGTGGGAAGCAGGGCTTCCTCTCCCTTGGAGCCTCCTCGCTTCAGGTGGTGATTTAGTCACTCAGTCGTGTCCAACTCTTTGTGACCCTATGGACTACAGCCCACCAGGCTCCTCTGTCCATGGGATTCTCCAGGCAAGAATACTGGAGTGGGTTGCCATTTCCTTCTCGAGGGGATCTTCCCAACCCAGGGATCAAACCCAGGTCTCCTGCCTTGCAGGCAGATTCTTTACTGACTGAGCTAAAACAGACATCTGAATTCATCCTTCTCTGCCTCTAATTGCATGAAAGACCCTGGGCAAGTCTGTGTCTTACAGGGAATCTGTCTGTCAAATGTGCTCAGTGTATGCCCATTCACTTCAGTCATGTCTGATTCCTTGTGATCCCATTGACTGTAGCCCGCCAGGCTCCTCAGTCCATGGTATTCTCCAGGCAAGAATACTGGAGTGGGTTGCCATGCCCTCCTCCAGGGGATCTTCCCAACCCAGAAATCGAACCTGGGTCTCCTGTGTCTCCTGCATTGCAGGATAGCAGGGACTTAGAACCAAGAGTGTTTCCAGTTGCAGGACCCTAAGACGGGATTCCCTGGAGAAGGGAAAGGCTACCCACTCCAGTATTCTGGCCTGGAGAATCCGTGGACTGTATAGTCCATGGAGTCGCAGAGCTGGATGTGACTGAGTGACTTTCACTTTCTTTACTCAATTGAGCTGCCTGGAATGGGAAGTTGAATTCATTGATGTCTTAGGGTCCTGCAACTTGAACCACTCTTGGTTCCAAGTCTCTGCTATCACCATTCCAGCTCACACTCCCATGTTCCTCCAACCTCCTGTCCCCAGGAGAAAATCTAAGAGTAGTGTTCTATGGCTCAAAAGACTTTCCCCAGGGGGTTTCCCTGGTAGTCCAGTAGTTAAGACTCCATGCTGCCACTGCAGTTCAATCCCTGGTCGGGGAACTAAGATCCTGCATGCTACACAGCATAGCCCAAAAAAGAAACTCTCCTCTGAGCTAGTTTTCACTAGGGTGGGTTATCTCCCTTACTTCATGCCTCTCTCTTTGCCCAGACATCAGTTGGCTCTCCACAGGCATATGTACCCCATCTCTGCCCTCCTGAGGCCTGAGCACTGAAAATATAATCCCTCTGCACATAATTCAAAACAAAACAACACTGCAGGAAATAAAAGGAAGTCCACAATAAACAAGACCCTACCTTATAGCATGGAGAGCTGTATTCCTTATCTTGTAATAACCTGTATCAGAAAAGAATCTGAAAAAGAATATATATGTATATATATGTGTGTATTTTATTGTTGCTTAGTCGCTAAGTCCTGTCCGACTCTTTTGCAACCCCATGGACTGTAGCCCGCCAGGCTTCTCTCCAAGGGATATCCCACGCAGAATAATGGAGTGGGTTGCCATTTCCTTCTCCAGGGGATCCTCCCGACCCAGGGATCAAACAAAAATCTCTTGCACTGGCAGGGAGATTCTTTACTGCTAAGCCACCTCGGAAGCCCATATGTGTGTATGTGTGTGTGTGTGTGTGTAACTCAATCACTTTGCTGTACACCTAACAATCTAATACAACACTGTAAATCAACTATGCTTCAATTAAAAAAAAAACTTGACTCCCAAAATACAAAAGTTACCCAAATGAATTTTGGAAAAAAAAATTGTAATTCATTTATTTGAATAAAAAAAAAGGGAGTCCACAAATTTTGACTTCTCCCATGATGACATCTTCAATTTAAAAAAATGTGTGTATCAATTACTAAATTTTAAAAAGTGTTCTAATGCCTCAACCTTGCTGAGGCCTTGGATGTATGATTCATTCACCTTGTCTAGCCTCCTCCAACCTATCTGATGACTGTTTAAAAGGAGTTTTCTTTTTTCTTTTGGCTGTGCCACGTGGCTGTGGCTTCCAGACCAGGGATTGAACCCGCACCCTCAGCAGTGAAAGCTCGGAGTACTAACCACTGGACCGCCAGGGAAGCCCCTGTGTCCAGCACGTTTGAAACATCATCTCTAAACTACTGAAGTGAGGTGCCACTACCTTCATTTTACAGTTGAAAAGACAGGCTCAGAGAGGGGAAGCAGTCACTCAAGGTCCCCTGCGGGGAAAAGGCAGAGCCAGATCTGACTCAGAAGTCCAGGTTCCTCCACCTGTGAGGCTGCCACCCAAAGCTCACCCACCACAGAAGTGCCACTCTGGCGTCTTCCCCAAGTTACCACAACTCCTGTTCAGTCGCAACTGCAATTTCATTCGGCCCTGGGTTCACACGTACATGCCTCTCTTTCCCACTAGATGGCAGCATCTCTGAAAGCAAGAAGCATCTCGCTCTCTCCATGAAACATATTCTCCAGTGCAAATGTGGAAATGGATATTTGCTGAATGAATGAGTTTATATTTATCTAGAATAAGTGTGCTCTCCCTATCTATCTATCCGTCCATCCGTCCACATCCACACACATAGATAATATTTATTAAGTGCACCTTATCAGCTTGTCCCAGTGCTAAGTATTTCACTTAGTTAAAAAACAGTTAAAAAACAAAAAAAGGCAAAGATCTGGCGCTTTTATTTATTTATTTTTAGCCACACTTCGAGGTTGGATCTTAGTTCCCTGACTAGAGATCAAACCCATACCACCTGCATTGGAGGTATGGAATCTTAACCACTGGACCAACAGGGAAGTCCCTGGCACTTTTACTATCTATAGGGTAGGAAAATGGAAAATGACTACTACAGGTACAGGTTTCTTTTTAGGGTGTTGAAAATATTCCAGAATTAGATAGTGGTGATGTTTGCACAACTTTATAAATATACTAAGAGCCAGTGAAAAAGGGTGCAGGCGTGAATGCTAAGTCTCTTCAGTCGTGTCCAACTCTTAGTGACCCCATGGTCACTGCCAGGCTCCTCTGTCAATGGGATACTTTAGGCAAGAACACTGGAGTGGGTTGCCATGCCCTCCTCCAGGAGATCTTCCCAACTCAAGGACTGAACCCAAGTCTCATGTCTCCTACATTGGCAAGTGGGCTCTTGACCACTAGCGCCACTTGGGAAGACCCAATAAGTGTATTATATTTCAGTAAAAAAAAAAATTAGGCACTTTAATATATTTAATTTATATTTAAATATATTTAATATATTATTTAACTCACTGGTAATCTGCTCCACTGTGTGTGTATGTGAGTGTGTTTGTATTTTCACTGCCATTTTACAGAAGGGGAAACTCAGGCTCTAGAAAGGGAAGTAATTCAGAGGTTGTTACGAGAATTAACCATAAATAGCTAATCTTTATGGAGCCTAAACTGCTTGGTCTAGGGTATCTTCCTTACAGTCCCATGACTTCCAACTCATTTTGTAGACAATAAAAACAGGCTTTACTGAAGGTCATGAGTAAAAAGAATGGGATTCAATCCCAGGCAATCTGATGGGGGGAGCCTGCCTCCCAAATACCCAATTTCTCAAATGAAAAGGACTAACAGGGACTTCCCTGGTGGTCTACACTCCCAATGCAGGGGGCCCAGGTCTGGTCCCTGGTCAGGAAACTAGATCCCATGTGCAGTAACTAAGAGTTTGCATGCTGCAACTGAAAGATCTGACATGCCAAAATGAAGATCGAAGATCCCATGTGCTGCAACTAAGACCTGGTGCAGACAAATAAATAAGTAATTAAAAAAAAAAAAGACAAGCAATAGTTTGTGAGGATGTGGTGTGCGCGGAACCTCCTCCACCGCCACCACCGCTGTGACTTGGCACAATTGTTTTGGAAAACTGTTAGTCGGAATCCACCAGAGCTGAACACCCGTGTACCTTATGACCCAGCAGTTCCACAGATACGTGCACATATGTGCACCAAAAAACAGGTACAAGACTATTCAGGGCAGCATTACTCTTATTAGCTCAGTAGTGGGAACAACGCAAATGTTTATTAACGGGCGAATGAATAAATATATCTCAGCGCAGACACATGATAGAGTCTTTTTTTTTTTTTACGATAGAGTCTTAACACAGCAAAGAGATGAACACTCTACTACCAAATGCAACCATATGGATGAATCTCACTGACAACATGTTGAGCAAAAGCAGCCTGACGTGGAAGTGTGGATGCTGTAAGGCTTCGTTTATATAAAGCTCCAAAACAGGCTGGTTCTTCCCAGGTGGCACTAGTGGTAAAGAACACGCCTGCCAATGCAGGAGACGTAAGAGATGCAGGTTTCCTGGGTCAGAAAGATCTCCTGGAGGAGAACATGGCAACCCACTCCAGTATTCTTGCCTGGAGAATCCCCATGTATAGAGGGGCCTGGCAGGCTACAGTCCATAGGGTCACAGAGTCGGACACAACTGAAGCAACTTAGCATGCACGTACCAAAAGAGGCTAATCTGGTGTTAGGCTGGGTTTTAACCTTGGGGTCACTAGAGGGGATCAAGAAGGGGCTGCTAACATTTTGTCTCTTTATCTGGACTCAGGAAACGTGTGTGTTCATTGTGAGTATTCACTTAACTGGACAATTATGAACAGTTTTTATATGGATGTTAGACTTTTTTTTTGAAAAGAGAGGCTAAGGGACTTACCTGGAGGTCTAGTAGTTAAGACTCCATGCTTCCAATACAGGGGGCCTGGGTTTGATCCCTGGTCAGAGAACTAGATCCTGCATGATGCAACTAGGATCCTGGTGCAGCCACATAAATTTTAAAAACAGAGAGAGAGCTTCTGTTTGCACATGCAGCCTCAAGGAAGCCTGCCTTGCCTGGGAATGGATTGGGCATCTAGGTAGTGGCAGGAGGAGAAATCACTGAGTGAGTTGAGGGAATAGAGGATGGAGAGGTAGGTGAGAGAAAGAGGAGTCTTAGCTAGGTCTCTAACTGGTGGCAAGCTGAAAAGTCATTTCCCCTATCTGGGTCTCAGTTTCTGTATCTGAAAAATGGATGTACAAGTCATGAAGGGAAAATTGATAAATATGACTACATCAAAGTGAGGAAGTTGGACTTAATGATTTTTCATATCAGAAGCACTCAATTGTTCTATCAAAAAATATGAGTCTCAGACTTCCCTGGTAGTCCAGTGGTTAAGAACCTGCCTTCCAATGCAGGGGATGCAGGCTCAATTCTTGGCCAGGGAACTAAGATCCTACATGCCATGGGGCAACTAAGTCTGTGTGCTGCAACTAGGATCCAACACAGTCAAACAAATATAATAAATCTTAAAAAGATATATGTGTATATATATGTGTGTATATATATATATATATATACACATATGAGTCTCATCGTAGGAGGAATGAAAAAAGTCACTTCCCTTTGCAAAAATACACTTCATGCTTACAGACTTTCTGCTTCTATATTTACAGTTAGTGATATTACAAGTAAGGTCATGTTATTCATACTTGAAAAAAAATTTATTTAGCTATGCCAGGCCTTAGTTGCAGCATGAGAACTCTTAGTTGCAGCATGTGGGATCTAGTTCCCCGACCAGGTATAGAACCCCTGCATTGGGAGCACAGAGTCTTAGCTACTGGATGGCCAGGCAAGACCCACTAGTACAGTTGAATAGTAGAGAGGAGAGGGAAGTCATTCCCAAAGGGCCCTGGGGTATAGCCCCTAGTAGGGCAGGGAGCGGGTGGCTGGTGTGCAGGGCCAGCCGGGGGAGACGGGGGAAGAGAACACTGGCCTGTGGCAGGACTGGGGGGGAGGGGTTATCAACCCAGAAATTTTCTTTTTCTTTTTGGCTGCACCTTGCAGCTTGTGGGATCTTAGTTCCCCAACCAGGTACTGAAGCCAGGTCCTTGGCAATGGGAGCTTGAAGTCCTAATCACGGGCTGGCCAGGGAATTCTCTGCCCAGAAACTTCTTTATCCAGCACTGTGGCTGCTTCCTCGGCAGCCAGAGAACCCTATTCCAGGCCAGGTGGAGGCAGGAATGCCATGAGCCAAATTACAAGCTTTTCCCCTCTTCTGTTGGTGGACCAGTAACATGGGATTCTATTTTTGCAGGACCATTTGGCAAAATCTGTTACACCTAAAGTGCTGGTACTCTTTGACCCAACAGGTTTAACTGTAGGAATCTGTCCTATGAAATATCTCTATAAGTGTGCAAAGATGTACAAAGATGTTCCGGGCAAGACTGTTTATAATACTGAGAAACCAGAGAATCAATGAATAAATTCTGATGAATCCCTACAGTGAAATACTATGTAGCTGTTAACAACCTCATGTGTAAAACAGGGATAATAATAGGATCTGTCTCTAACAGTTTTCATGAGGATTAAGTGAAAATGCAAAATGCTTCCATAGTAATGCTAGCTATCATCATCACTACAGATGTAGAAATAGGGAAAAATGCAATGTTGATTAAAAAAGAAATGAGAAATGTGATCCCATTTGAGTAAATTAATAATAGTAAACACATATTAAAAAAGAAGAAAAGTCTGGACATACAAGTATCAAATGATGACACTGGTGGTCTTTGGTGGAGGGGAGGGTAACGGAGACATTTATTTTGCAAATTTCTATAAATTTTAAAGTAATACCTGTGTATTGCTTTTGAAACCGGGGGGGGGTGGGGGTGGAATCCTCCAAAACAGTAAAGGAAACAAGAGGTGAGAGTGGAGTAGAAGATGGCATGAGAGGTACTTCTTTGGTGATCCAGTGGCTAAGACTCCGGGCTCCCAGTACAGGGGGCCTGGGTTTGATCCTTGGTCAGGGAACTAGATATCACAACTAAAATCCCACATGTTGTCAAATAAATACTAAAATGAAAAATATATATGGCATGAGAAACCCCCTGCCCTCTTCTTGAGGACCCTGAAGTCCAGAGATCAAAGCTACCCAAACAGGCTCCCTGGGGAATTAAGGGCCTGGGTTTGATCCCTGATCAGGGAACTAGGATCCCACAAGCTTTGAGACATGACTCCACCCAAAAAGAAAAGGCTCCCTGTTTTGGTTGATCAGACACTGGGAGTGCAGCTTCCCACACAGATTGTCTGACACTTTATTCTCATTCTGGACCCCATGGGGACATCTTCTCTTCAGGGCACAAGGCCCGGGAGGCTGGCTGATCAGGGAGGCTGGGCCATCTCACACAAGCCGTTTGCCCTCTCTGGGCCTCAGCTGCCCTCCTTGCAACATGGGCAGAAGCAGCCCAGCTTCTTGGCGTGTTGTGAACAGCTAGGGGAGCAGAATGCGCCACTGGCATCAGAGCAGAGTGAGGGAGGGGGGCCAGCCCGGAGCTGCTGCTTCACCAAGAAGAGCCGCTATGCCAAGAGTCTGTCGTCTGTAAAAATGCCGACGGCTGCCATTTGTCAGTGGGCAGTTTGTACTCACAACACTGCTGACACCAAATGCGCGATGTCTTCTCCAGTTCTCCAATACCAGCTGGGTGTCCTCCAATTCAATTCAGCTCTGACATCGTCTACCCGGAGTTAGCGTCAGATCCCACAAGTTAAGGGCTCGGTCCCACAAGCCTGCCTCTGCTTCAGACACCAAAGTTCTGACCGACTGGCTATAAACAGGGGGATCCTGTGACCCCTGACTGAGGCTCCATCATTTGTTAGAAAGGCTCACAGGACTCAGGAAAGCTCTTTACTTATATTTTGTGGTTTCTCATAAAGGAGAGAACTCAGGAGAGGCGAGTGGAAGAGATGCATAGGGCAGAGTATGAGGGCAAGGGGTGCGTGGACCTTATGCGCCCCCTCCCGGTGCACTGCTGCCCCCAGTACCCCAACCCAGAAGCTCTCTCATCTCCATTTAGCCATTTTTATGGAGATTTCATTTCATAAGCACGATTGATTAAATCATATAACCCTGGGGACTTGCTGGTGCTCCAGTGGCTAACACTCCAAGCTCCCAATGCAGGACCCCTGGGTTTGACCCCTGGTCGGGGAACTAGATCCCTGCAGGAATTAGACTAAAGATCCTGTGTGCCACAACTAAGAGCTGGGTGCAGCCAAATAAATAAATAGAAATGAAAATAAAAACAAATCATTAGCTCTTGATGATTGAACTCAGTCTCCAGCCCCTGTCCCTCCACCACAACCCTGGAGCTGAAATTCCAACTCTCTAACCATGCCTTCATCTTCCTAGTGACCAGTTCAAAACTATCTAGGGGCCACCAGTCATCTATTAGCATACAAAAGACTCTGAAGGTTCCAGGGGTTTTAGGTGCTATGTGCTAGAAACTAGGAGATAAAAACCAGGTATGTCTGTTTCCCAGGGTACCACAACCAGGCCTCCCCAGCCGCTTGCCCGGCTCTGAACACTGGGTGTCCTGTCTAATCAACACACTTAACCACGTGTCATCTAGGGCTGATGGTCCCCAGTTTACAGAGCACACCTGGCGTGGAGTTGTTTGTTTACATGTGTTAGAGAGAGTAGGATGGTTGTTCCAGGTCATACAGTTAATGAGTAGTGTCGCCTGGATTTGAACCAGGTGCGTCCGATGCCAGAGTCCCAGTGTGTCCTTCCACTGGGCTGCTCGGAGGCACTGAAGGCTGACCTGACCTCCCACAAACATCAAGTAGCAGAAGGCGCACATACCAGGGTGGGAGGGGCAGCCGGCACACAGTAGGCACTTTGTGAATACTTGCTGAGTCAGCAAAGGATTGGCAAGTCCTTCTCCCCACACTCTCCAGGGTTCAGGGTGTCATCAGCTGCATAAGACTCATACCCATGATCTAGAAGATTGTAAGTCAGCTAGGGCCACAGACCTCGTGTTACTCAGAGGGAGAGTGAGGATTGGTTGGGCTCAGGGACTGTCTCAGACCACTGGCATGGTGCGACAGTGACCATGCCAGGCCTCCTCCCCCCAGCTCTGCATGCTGCATCACTGGAGTCTCACAAGAGCAGGCTGGGAGAAGTAGAACAGGGACCATTCCAAAGAGGAGAAAAGAGAGAGCTGGAAAGCAGGTGCGCAGCCTCCTTTTTTGTGCATTTCTGGCCACCTGTGTGTACAAGTTGAAGTCTGGGTGTGGCTGCCCAGGGTCAGTCCCTGGAGAGTAGAAAGGGAGGTATCTTGGAGGGGTGGAATCATCATCAAGACCGAGACCTCCCTGACCCCTCAGATCCCTGCCTGCCTGGGAAACGTCAGGGCCAGAGGATGCCTGGCCTGTCTGGGGCTCCCTGGCCCAGAGCCGTGGACTGTGCTGCCCAAGCTGCCCCTGATCTGTGACTCTGGACCCTGCTCTGGGTGCGACCCCGGTATAAGGAGTAAATGCTTTGAGCACTGGTTTCTCATCTTTAAAATGGGTGTGGCAGGACGTCCCTGGCAGCCCAGTGGTTAAAACTCTGGGCTTCCAATGCAAGGGATGCGGATTCGACCCCTGGTCAGGGAATTGAGGTCTCACATGTCAGGTGGCCAGGCTGATAAAATAAAAAAGTAAAATGGGTGTGTGATATGATGTTATATTTACCTTAAGGGGTTGTTGTGAGGATTAAATGAAGTGAGTGAGTGACAGCCAGTGGTCGGCACTGATAAGTGTGGTTTCCTTCCTTGTTCCCTCTCTGCCTCTCCCACCCCTGCCCTTTCTTTTGTCCTTCCTTCCTAGCCAACACCTCTGGGAATGGTGTTAGAGAAAGAACTAGGTACTCCAGGACACAGAAAACAACCTCCACCAGGGAACTTGGGGATGGAAAAGGCCTTGTCAGACCAGCTGTGGAAGGGTGACAGACAGCTCCGCCCTGCCCAGATCCCTGGGCTCCTCTAGTGCTGGGGAGCTCTGGGAGTCACACCAGCTGAGGCCCCACTCCAGCTCCATCAGGGCTTCAGGTCCCTGGAGTGACATGGAAAGGGGGTCCCAGGGAGGCACATTGTTCACCCAGAGTCTTACAGCTGATGGGGTCCCCCAGTGGCTGACCGTTACCTGCCCACCCACCTGCCAGTTGACCTCCAGGGCCAGCCAGGGGGATGCATCGCCTACTTATTGGTGCCAGGCTCTGCCGTAGGAATAGTCTGTTCCTTCCTGCTGGGATCTGCCAGGGTCCCCTACGCAAGGTCAGCTTGTGTGCATATGAAGTCGCTTCATTCATGTCTGATTCTTTGCGACCCCATGGACTGTAGCCAGCCAGGCTCCTCTGTCCATGGGATTCTCCAGGCAAGAGTACTGGAGTGGATTGCCATGCCCTCTTCAGGGAATCTTCCTAACCCAAGGATCAAACCCACAGTCTTCTTCATCTCCTGCATTGGCAGGTGGGTTCTTTACCACTAGCACCATCTAGGAAGCCCTACTGCTGCTGCTAAGTCACTTCAGTCATGTCCGACTCTGTGTGATCACATAGACGGCAGCCCACCAGGCTCCCCCATCCCTGGGATTCTCCAGGCAAGAACACTGGAGTGGGTTGCCATTTCCTTCTCCAATGTGTGAAAGTGAAAGTGAAGTCGCTCAGTCGTGTCCGACTCTTAGCGACCCCATGGACCACAGCCTACCAGGCTCCTCCATCCATGGGATTTTCCAGGCAAGAGTACTGGAGTGGGCTGCCATTGCCCTAAGGTCAGCTCAAAAAGGAAAGACAACAGGAGCTGCCTCCTGTCCTGTATTTCAGGAGGAGGAAAGACAGATGGGGAAATGGATGAGGTGAGGCCATCAGAACACCTATGAGCACCCATGAATACACCCCTTCTTGTGTGCTGCGTTTTGAATACAGAACACACACACACCCACGTTGCCCAACAGTCTGGGTAAGAATGCTTAGACCCAGGTTATAGATGAGCAGAGTGAGGCCCAGGAGAGGACAGGGTCACCTGGAGAAAAGTCAGAGGCAGCAGGGGGAATAGAAGCTTTGGAATTAGGCTGCCTGAGTTTGAATCCCAGCCCTGCCATTTCCAGGCTGCGTGACCTTGAGCCAGTGCCTTGACTTTTCTGAGCCTCTGTTTCCTCATCGGTAAAGTGGATAGAATACCCTTTCCATCTCAGGTTATCAGGAAGAAGGAAACAGCGACAGAAAAGACCCCCACAGTGCCCAGCACACAGTAGGTGTGCAGCACATTTTGGTTCCTGCCCCGACTCCCAGCTCCCTTGAGCCTCCTTCCTCTGCTTCACACCCGAGCCCAAATCTCCTCTTCAGCCCTGATGAAGGAGTGAGAATTGACCTAAAGATGGCTTCTGCCGGCCTGACAGCTCCAAAACCTGCTTTTGCCCACCACAGGGCCGGCAGCAGGGTCAAGTGCAGCCTCAGAAGGAGAACCCTGGGAGGGGAGTCTTAGTATTTCTGCAGGTGAGGTCATGGAGTCTCCAAAAAGCCACCCCTCCCACTTCTGTTTCACTCTGCAGCTCCCCAGTGCTTATTACCATCCACCTCAGTTTACAGAAGTCACCTGCACCATGTCAGAGTTTCATGCACAGCATTCCAGGACCCCTGCTGGGGCCCTGACTTAAGCTCCCAGCAGCCCTCTCACCCAGGCCCAGGTTGAGTCCTGATCCCCACCCTAGACCTAAGCCCAGGTCTCAGATAGACTGTGTCCTTAGAGGGGTACTACGTCGGCCACCTGATGCGAAGAACTGACTCATTGGGAAAGACCCTGATGCTGGGAAAGACTGAAGGCAGGAGGAGAAGGGGACAGCGGAGATGGCTGGATGGCATCACCGACTCAATGGACATGAGTTTGAGCAAGCTCCGGGAGTTGCTGATGGACAGGGAGGCCTGGCGTGCGGCAGTTCAGGGGGTCGCAGTCAGACACAACTGAGCGACTGAACTGACTTAGAGGGGTAAGGGGGATAGTGGAGGGGCACAGTCAGAAGAATCACCCTCACCAAAGAGGGAACTCCTGGCTGCCACAGCACAGAGCTCCTCAGTGGGATTCTTCCTCTCCTCCAGGAGCCGTTCCTGCCCTGAGGCTGAGGCGCTGAGCCTCCCTAGGGCGGACCTGAGCCCACTACTCAGGTTCCCAGGCTTCTGAGGATCTGAGCAGATGTTGAGAGAATCTGGGTAAAATGGAGGTGGGGGCTAAATCCTTGGCCCCACTGCCACCTGATTCAGCTGAGCCTCCAACATCATCCCCCTTGGGAAGGACCAGGCCGATCTGGTTTGGAGGGGGCTGCCTGGTCCTCTGAAGTGGCCCCAGTTTATTCTATCCCTGTTTCTATACCAGTGGCCCAGGAACAAGCCTCCCCAAGTCACAAGAGGGAGAGCCAGGCCCAGAGAAAGGAGGTAACGTGCCCAAGGTCACACACACAGCCAGCCACAGACAAGAGACCAGTCCTGACTCTGGCTTCCTGGCCCCGCAGGTGGACTCAGGAGACCCGGGATGGGGGCAGGGTGGCAGGGGACAGGGTGACTGGGGAGCCGGTGGGAAGCGTCTTTCCAAGCCAGTAGGAGCCAGTGTGGGTGCATTCACCACTTCCAGGCCCCTGCCTGTTGGCTAGAAGCCCGGTGGCTGGGAATCCAAACGGCTTCTCCCCGTCCAGCCAGGAGGAGTCTGGGTCCTTGTCCCTGATCCACCGGCCCACCTGGAACCAGCTTCTCTACAGACACCCACCCCTGCCCAGGGCAGGGGGCGACAACAGGCAGGAAGGTCCTTCCTCTTGCTCCCTGGCCCACACTTAGCTCCCTAGAGAGCCCCCTGGGCACCTGACCTCTCCCCCCATCCACACCCCTGGCCTGAGATTCAGTCCCACCAGCTGGGTGGGACTGAGGAGGCAGCGGGGAGCCTGGGCAGGCTCTCGATCTTGAGCCTTCTCTAGGGTATGAAATTGCCTCCTTCTTGAGGAAGCTGAACTTCAGGGAGGCAGGCAGGTTCGCGAGACTATTAACCCCTAATGCTCGGCAGAGCCATAGGACCGCCCCTCCCCCTTTGACAGGTGGGGAGACTGAGGTCCGCCTGAGAGAGGTTCCCACTCCCCTCGGGCTAAGCACCTGTCCCCACCGGCTCCCCCCCTCCCATGCCCCTTACTTGGATCCCGCTCTATCTGCGGGCGGGGTGGCGCCCAGCCAGGGCCACCGGGTCTCCCCGGGCGGCGTCGGGGGCGCACGCGGGATGCTCGGGGCCGCGGCCGCCGCCTCTCGGTGTCTTCTCTACGCCGGCGGCAGAGGGCTCTGTGCGCTGCGCTGCGCCGCCGGCCCGACTTTTAGCAGCGGGTGTGGACGCTGGCACTGCCGGGGCCCCCGCCCTCCCCGCCCGCTTGGGGTGTCCTTTGCCCCTTGATCCGGTGCCTCCTCCTCTCCTTAGCACGTGGGTGGCAGCCGCTCACCCAGCTGGCGGGCTGTGGGGCAGCTATGGCCCGGGCTATGGGCTCAGGCGCCTGCCAATCCCCGTCTGGGACCCGCTCGTGCCCGATCACCTTTAACCCTCCATCTCCGCGGGGGCTTGGTGCCTGGTGCCCAAATCTAGGGCTGGGTTGGAGAGAGGAGGAGCCACAGGTGTGGAGCCAGGCCCAGGTGGGCAAAGGCGGCGCCTGGGAGGCGCAGTTACACCCTGAGCCCCAGCCCCTCTTAGCTCTCTTGAGTTCCCATCAGGCTATCTGAGCGCCATTCATTCCCCTGGACGCCAGCTCCATGGTGCTGGGTTCCCAGCCCCTGTCCCTGATCTCCCTTCACCCTTAGGATCCCCACTCCCACTCCTCCAGAGCAGCCCTCCCCTTCTCACACCCCCACCCCTTACTGCCCTGACCTCCTCCTCCACAGCCTCTATCTCCCCAAGCGGTTCCTCCTGGAACCTCCTCCTGACATCCTTTCTCCCCGGGGTCCCCGTGTCCTTCTATGACCCTGCCCTTTCCCGGAACCACTCCCCACCGTGTGTGCTCACGCTTGAGGCTCTGTCCCCCTCCCTGAACCCCACCACTTTCCTGAACCCCCTCCCCTCACCACCACCCCGCCCCCGCCTCCTGGGGCCCACTGGCCTCCCCTTCTGGGTCCCTACATTCCTCCTGATTCTTAGCATTCATTCCACAAACACCCCAGACACTCACAGGGTAGCAGCCCAGAAAGATGACAGGGACAGGCCAAAAAGTACTCATAAATAAGAAATGTTTTTTAAGTTTAAGTATGTCTCATGCACTATTTAGGGTATGTGTGTGTTTGCGTGCTAAGTCACTCCAGTTGTCTCTGACTCTGTGTGACCCTATGGACTGTAGCCCGCCAGGCTCCTCTATGGGATTCTCCAGGCAAGAACTGGAGTGGGTTGGCACGCCCTCCCCCAGGGGATCTTCCCCACCCAGGGATTGAACCCGCATCTCTTATGTCTACCTGCATTGGTGGGCAGGTTCTTTACCACTAGTGCCACCTGGGAAGCCCTCTTTAGGGTATACTTATACTAAAGGATGATTCAGGACTTCCCTGGTGGTCTAGTGGCTAAGAATCTCCCTGCCAGTACTATTTACAACAGCCAGGACACGGGAGCCACCTAGACGTCTATCAACAGATGAATTGATAAAGAAGCTGTAGATTACTCAGGCATAAAGGGGAATGAATTTGTGTCGGTTCTAGTGAGGTAGATGAACCTGAGCCTGTGATGCCAAGTGAAAGAGGAAATGTAAGTCAGAAAGAGAAAAACAAATATCATATGTTAAGGCACATATATGGAATCTAGAAAAATACTACTACTGAACCTATTTGTAGGGCAGTAATAGAGATGCAGACATAGAGAACAGACTTGTGGACACTGTAAGGGAAGGAGAGGGTGTGATAAATTGAGAAAGTAGCATTGAAACATATGTATTACCAAATGTAAAACAGATAGCCAGTGGGAATTCGCTGTCTGATTCAGGGAGCTCAACCCAGTGTTCTGTGACAACCTAGAGGGATGGGAAGGGGTGGGAGGTGGAAGGGAGGTTCAAGCAGGAGGGGATACCTGTGGCTACATCCTGTACATGTAGGGGACACCTACATGTATACCTACAGCTGACTCATGTTGATGTATGGCAGAAACCAACACAACATTGTAAAGCAATTATCCTCCAATTACAAGTAAAAATCTTTTTTAAAACTGCAAAAAAAAAAAAAAAGAAAAAGAAAAAAGAATTTGCCTCCCGATGCAGGGGACATGGGTTTGATCCCTGGTCCGGGCAGATTACAGGGGGTGTGCAGAGACTAAGCCCGTGCACCACAATCACTCAAGCCTGCCTGCTCTAGAGCCTGAGCTCCACAACAAGAGAAGTCATTACTGAGAAGCCCCAGCACCACAACAAGAGAGTAGCCCCCGTCTGCAGCAACCAGAGGAAGCCTGCACACAGCAACGAAGACCCAGGGCAGCCAGGAAAAGATTATTCATGTTTACCAGAAAGTCAGATTTAACTGAGCAACCTGGATTTACCCTACTCATATGTAAAACAGGGGAGGCAGGGAAGTTTGGACAAGATCTTCTCTCTCCAGGGCCCCACTTAGCTCCAGCTACATCTATTAAAAAAAAAAAAAAAAACCTCAGGATGATCTGAAAGTGGGTCTGGAGGTGGTTACATCCACTGTAGAATAAAAGGAGAGCAAGGTGAACATGGGAAGCAGCGTGGGAGTGGGTTGGGGCTGGCCTTCACATTAGAGAAAGACAGAGGGAAGGAGGAGTTCATTGAGGCAGTCCAATCCTGGAAGGCTTCCTGAAGGAGGAAGACATTCATGGTTGTTTTGATGCTGAGAATGAAGGGAGGTGAGTTAGATGGTCTCTGGTGGATGCCTCCCCCTTCCTTAATGGAAACCTGGAGAGGCTTGAGGGTCTCTCCATTTAAGGACGCCTCTTGAAGATCAGTAGAAAGTATCTCCCCCTTTATATGAAGATTCTTTAGAGTGAGGCGGCTATTCAGTCACTAAGTCATGTCCAACTCTTTTGCAACCCCATAGACTGTAGCCCACCAGGTTCCTGTGTCCATGGGATTTCCAGGCAAGAATACTGGAATGGGTTGCCATTTCCTTCTCCAGAGGACCTTCCCGACCCAGGAATCGAACCCATGCCTCGCGCTTGACAGGTGGATTCTTTACCACTGAGCCACCTGGGAAGTCCTTGAAGACAGGGTCTCATTTCAACCAGACACGTCTACCACATCTGGCTAGCATTTGCCAAGAGCTGGCTGCTTGCCAGGGTCCTGCCTGCACTTACTAAGCCCTTTACGTGGGTTAATTCATTGAATACCTTCAACAACCAAATGGTGTGGGTATTTTTCCTAATTTCATAGATGAGGAAACTGAGGCACAGAGAGGTTGAGTAATTTGTCTGAGGTTCACACAGGTGAAATTTGAGCCCAGGTGTCCTAGCCCTGGGCTTCCCAAGTGGTAAAGAACTCACCTGCCAATGCAGGAGACATAAGAGACATGGGTTCGATCCCTGGATCAGGAAGATCTCCTGAAGGAGGGCATGGCAACCTACTGCAGCATTCTTCTCTGGAAAATCTCTTGGACAGAGGAGCCTGGTGGGCTTCAGTCCACAGGGTCACAAAGAGTCGGACATGACTGAAGCACTTAATGTGCATGCCCTGGGTCTGCAACCACCATGTAGCAGATCCTGTGCTGGGGGTTAGGACTGGAAAAAATGACACAAATTCTGTCCTTGCTCTTAGGGGACCTCTTGTCTAACAAGAGAAGGGGATGGGTGAGTCTTCAATGACTGGTGCAGGTCAGGCTGGGATTGGGGCTGGGCTAGAGTGGGCTGGGAAGGAAGGAAGGATTCTGCCTGTGCAGGAGGAGGTGTGTGCTGTGCCAAAAGGATGGTTCAGTTCTTCAATAGCTTTAGGTTAAGGCATCGGGAGGAAGTGCATTCTGGGTGGAGGGACATCTTGGGCAAAAGCAGGAGAGATGCAGCGTGAGACTGGGGAATGGTCAAGAGTTTGGCATGACTGGAAGAGGGTCTATATGTTGAGTATGAGATGGGCAAAAGGAAAAAGGAAGAAAAGCATAGAGGAACACAAGCATTAGACAAAGTAAGGTAGTTTCCACTGGGGAGAGGATAGGTAGCTGCAAGTTTCCATCCAAGGCAAGACTGATCAGCTTTGCTAGAACAAGAGGGAGGCCGTGGAGGGCCAGCAGGGGGCGGGGGTGCTCAGCCCAAGAGTGGTCAGTCCGTCTGAGCTGGGCCAGGGCCACACAACCATCTTGGGGAAGTGGGTGGAGGACTTACCCAGCAGAAGGGACTGACTGTCACTTGATCAAAGATCTTGGGTCTCATTCAACTCTAGATTCAGCCCCAGAACAGAATCTTTGTTAACAAAATAATACACTTGTAAATGTCAGGAGAACTGGCTAAAGAAGGGACTTACCTGGTGGTCCAGTGGTTAAGAATCCACCTCGCAATGTGGGGACTGGGTTCAATCCCTGGTTGAGGAACTAAGATCCCACATGCCACACAGGGGGAAAAAGTGACAGAGGAGTGATAATCCCTAAATTCAGGGGTGTGAGCAAGCAAGGCAGGAACATCTAGATGTATGGTTTTGGTGAGGTTCCAGTTCTGGAATTGGGTGGTAGATTCACTGATGCTCATTATAAATTAATAAATCCACAAATAAATGAAATAAATGCAGGCTAAGTAGACACCAAAGAAGAGAGTGTATTGAAAAATAAGAATTACTATTAATATATTTCTGTGTACCTGAGGTCTGGATTGTAAAAGAGGATGTGTATGTGTGTGTTCTAGAATAACTGGATGTCCACATGCAGACTCTTAACTCATACCATATACAAAGATTAGTTCAAAATGGACCAATGACCTAAATAGAAGAGCTAAAAACCATAAAACCTTAGAAGAAAACATAAAGGTAAATCTTTATGATCTTGAGTTATAAAATGATTTCTTAGATATGATGCCAAAGCACAAGCAACAGAAGAAGAAAATAGATAAACAGGACTTCATCAAACTTTTCATAAAAACTTGTGTGCATCAAAGGGCCCCATCAAGAAAGTGAAAAGACAACCTACAGAATGGGAGAAAATTATAAACCATATCCCTGATAAAGGACTAGTGTCCAGAATATATAAAGAACTCTTACAAACTCAACAATAAAGAGACAAATATGGGCAAAGGATCAGAGTAGAGATTTCTATAAAGCAGATATTGAAAAGGACAAATTGCATAAGAAAAGATGGTGAATATCATGAGTCATCAGAGAAATGCAAATCAAAATCATGAGACACTTCATACCCACTAGGAGAATTATAATTAAAAAAAGATAGACAATAACAAGCGCTGGTGAAGGAACTGGAACCTTCTTTAAAATGAGTAAAATGGTAAATTTTATATCATGTATGTACCACCAAAAAATCAAAAGGAATTAAGCTCAGCTGGTAAAGAATCCAACTGCAATGCAGGAGACTCCAGTTTGATTCCTGGGTGGGGAAGATCCCCTGGAGAAGG